CGGGTGAAGCAAGAAGAAAACCCAGGGAATTCACTATCACGTGTATCTTGAGGTTCCTACCTGTCTGCCTTCTTTTCCCCACCTCCCAGAGTCTTCTCGTGTTTGCTTTATAATGTAATGTCCAGGGTGTTTAGTTGCACTTAGTAGGAGGAACAGGAAACATTTTGTCTACTCCATCTTTCTAGAAGTAGATGTAGACCTCATTGTTTTTAATGACTAATACACAGCATACAATTTACTAACCCATCTCCTTTTGACAGCCATTTAGGTTGTTTATAGTTTTATTATTTCAATAGTTTTTTTTTCCTACTAAAATAACGAAGGGCTGGGTGCGGTGACTCATGCCTATAATCCCAGCACTTTGGGAGGCCAAGGCAGGTGGATCACCTGAAGTCAGGAGTTCGAGACCAGCCCGGCCGACATGGTGCAACCCCATCTCTACTAAAATACAAAAATTAGCTGGGTGTGGTGGCGTGCACCTATAATCCCAGCTACCTGGGAGGATGAAACAGGAGAACCACTTGAATCTGGGAGGTGGAGGTTGCAGTGAGCCAAATCGCACCATTTGTGCTCCAGCCTGGGCAACAGAGAGAGACTCTGTCTCAAAAAACAAAAACAAACAAACAAACAAACAAAAAGAAAAAAGAAAAAAAATAGAGGAAAAACTTTTTACCTAAAGTATGATTTCCATTATGTTTAAAAATAAACAGACATTCTTGGGATTGGTGATTGTTTTCTTTTTTGTCATTTCCAAAAAATAATATAACTATTACTTTTAATGACTATATAGGAATATATATAGTTTTTTTATATATATATATATAAACTTTATCTCATATATATGGTAAAGATGAAAGATGAGGCCAGGCGTGTTATGAGAATTAAAAGAGATAAATTCTTGACCGGGCATGGTGACTCACGCCTATAATTGCAGCACTTTGGGAGGCCGAGGCAGGCAGATCACCTGAGGTCAGGAGTTTGAGACCAGTCTGACCAACATGGAGAAACCCCGTCTCTACTAAAAATACAAAATTAGCTGGGCATGGTGGTGGATGCCTGTAATCATAGCTACTCGGGAGGCTGAGGCAGGAGAATCACTTGAATCCGGGAGGCAGAGGCTGAGGTGAGCCGAAATTGCACCACTGTACTCCAGCCTGGGCAACAAGAGCGAAACTGTCTCAAAAAGAAAACAAACAAGCATGAAAGGTGAGTTGGTTGTGTCACATGAAGAGGGCAGTATAGAGCCCCAGGTAATGGGGCATAGGAGTGGGATTCCAGATACCAGGCCTACATTTTAGGGGTGAGATTGCCAATCACGGTCTTTCTTCCATCCCTCACAGAGGTGTAGGTTTGTCCTGAGGACAAACCTAATCCTGGAGACTTCATGTAATCTAGAAGAGACATGCAAATTGATGAAAAACAGTGATTTTTTTCTTCTTTGAGACAGAGTCTTGCTCTGTCACCCAGGCTGGAATGCAGTGGCGTGATCTCCTCAAACTGCAACCTCCACCTCCTGAGTTCAAGCCATTTGGCCTCCCAAAGTGCTGGGATTACAGGTGTGAGTCACCATGCCTGGCCAAAATATTGAATCTTTGAGGTAAAATAAAGATGTTGCCCAGGCTGGAGTGCCACAATCATGCCATTGTACCCTCTGTCTCCCAGATTCAAGTGATTATCCTGCTTTCCTGCCTCAGCCTCCCGAGTAGCTGGGACCACAGGTGTGTGCCACCATGCCCAGCTAATTTTTGTATTTTTGGAGAGATGGGGTTTCACCATGTTGGCCTCGCTGGTCTCAAACTACTAATCGCAAGTGATCCACCCACCTCGGCCTCCCAGAGGGCTGGAATTACAGGCATGAGCCACTGCTCCCAACCTTAATTTTTCAAAATAAAAAGCTGGCCCCACCTCAGTTCAGATCCAGTGAATCTGGGTGAGAGGGCAGAGTCCACAAGTATCTGCATTTCAAATAGATGTTCCCATTGATTTTTATGCATACCACAGTTTCTGATCACCTGATTTGAAGTACAGCAATGTACTTTTATTTCAGTCTTCCTCTATAAAGGTAGAAAAACTTCTGTATCTTGGCTACACAATAGAGTTTAATAACCTTGGATCAGTGGATTCAAACCTAGTTCTTAGCTAGTTTAAAAGTCCTTCCGTGGTCCTCCTCAGTTTTCTCCATTTTCTTCAACTCTGTTAATATCTTTACCTATCTTCATGCAAATTATTATTATTATTATTTTGAGACATAATCTTTCTCTGTCGCCTAGGTTGGAGTGCAGTGGTGGGATCCCAGCTCACTGCAACCTCCGCCTCCCGAATTCAAGTGATTCTCTTGCCTGAGTACTTGGGATTACAGGTGTGCGCTGCCACAGCTGGCTAATTTTTGTACATACATATATATTTTTTTTTTCCCCGAGACGGAGTCTCGCTCTGTCACCCAGGCTAGAGTGCAGTGGCACAATCTCGGCTCACCGCAACCTCCGCCTCCCGGGTTCAAGCAATTCTCCTGCCTCAGCCTCCCAAGTAGCTGGGATTACAGGCATACGCCACCACGTCAGATTGATTTTTGTATTTTTACTAGAGAGGGAGTTTCACCGGGTTGGCCAGGCTGGCCACGAACTCCTGACCTCAAGTGACCTGCCCGCCTTGGCCTCCCAAAGTGTTGGGATTAGGTGTGAGCCACCACGCCTGGCCTAATTTTTATATTTTTAGTAGAGACTGGATTTCTCCATGTATGCCAGGCTGGTCTCGAACTCCTAATCTCGGTTGTTCGGCTCACCTCGGCCTTCTAAAGTGCTGGGATCACAGGCGTGAGCCATCACACCCAACCACAAATGTTTTCTAAGTTATAGTGTAAGAACACGGCAGTAAATGCCATCCTCCAAATTGCATCAGGGGTCACAGGCAAGCAGAACCTAGCCTCTAATTTCCTCAAAAACTGTGTAATAAAAAGAAGTTACAGAGATTATCCCGGGTTTGCCAAAAAGGAAAAGAAAAAAAAAAAAAAAGAGGTGAGTAGCACCAACATCTCCATCCAGCTCCAAGCAGTTCTTTTTTCTTTTCTTTTTTCTTTCTTTTTCCTCCCTCCCTCCCTTCCTTCCTTCCTTCCTTCCTCCCGGTGGAGTCTTGCTCTGTCACCCAGGGTGGAGTGCAGTGGCACCATCTCTACTCACGGCAACCTCCGCCTCCCGGGTTCAGGCTGGAGTGCAATCTCCACCTCCCGTGTTCAAGCGATTCTCCTGCCCCAGCCTCCAGAGTAGCTGGGACTACAGGCACCCGCCACCTCACCCGGCTAATTTTTGTACTTTCAGTAGAGACGGGGTTTCACCATGTTGGCCAGGATGATCTCGATCTCCTGACCTCGTGATCTGCCCATCTCGGCCTCCCAAAGTGCTGGGATTACAGGCATGAACCACCGCACCTGGTTGAATGCATATTCTTTTAAGGTTTTGTTATTGTTTTTCCATGTAGCACTGACAGATTTGTACTAATTCTTTGCTTCTCTGGTTGCTAATTGGCTTTAGAATTGTTAGCTGATGCTCTTGAAGACCAAAACGAAACTACCTTAGTTGGCTTAGATATGGAAATAATCTGAGTTTTAGGATTATTTGCAGTATAAATGGTTTCAAACACCAAAGTTTGACAAAGAAGCATTTATAGTCCACTGAGAAGGCTATCTAATTTCAGATTCCAGGTAAGCAGAATCACTTAAATTTAAAAGAGCACGCTCTGTGTTGATATGCAAAACTTTGTTAAAGTATACGTTTTGATCTTTAATTCATTTATTAGTTACTAATGTTTACTATTTAGTAAGCACAGGCAAATGTGGTAAGCACTGCACTTATTAGGAATACACTGTAAGGTTACAGGCAGTGTGGGTGTGGATTTTGACTGTATTTGAAGTTTTCTTACCTTGAAACTTACTCAGCACTTGCAAACCTATACCACAGAGTTTAGCCCTTACTTCTTCTTAAGAGGCTTGAAAATCCTCCACAGCATCTAGTGTAGTGCTAATCCTAAAGAAAACAACCAACAATTAAGTGTTAATTGTTGATTGGTATCACCCTGTGACCAACTGTTTTCACCCAAGTGAAACCAAACGGTTGGTCACTTTTTTGATTTAGTTTATTTTTCAATTTCTTACATCTCAGGATAGTTTTAGTAGATTTTGGATGAGACAACAAGGATCTCTGACAACCATCATTCTCAGAAAATGTCTGGCATCACCTCAAATATGGCTTTCGAACATTACAGAGGAATGAATGAGGAGCAGTACCAATAGACTGAGGGCCAGGCCCACTTTGCCATTTTGGTATTCTTCATCTTTGTCCCAATTCCTGGCACGATAAGAATTTTCAAACGAATAAACAATTTTCGTATTAAAATAGTATTTAGAACCAAATATCTTCTATAATACAGAAAATTGAGTCAGCTTTCCCAGTAATGATTCTTTAAGTTGGCCTTCTGAAATATGATAAAATGTTTCCCAGATATTCTCGATATTTTGCACCATGGGTAGGGTTGTATTTTGAAGTTAAATGACTACATATAATGTTTTTTTGTTGCTGTGAAGGGACCTGAGATGTGGCTAATTGAAAACATCTGGAGATTAAAGACTCGTGCAGTTTACGCAGCAAGGATATTATTGCTCTGAATTTCAATATATCAACATTTCACTATATATCGGTAAAGCTCAAAGCCCTTAAAAAATGACCAATATAGACGGAATCAACACCGATGTAGTCCCAAAGCGGCACAGAGGTGTATCTGCCAAAGCGTCCATTTAAATTCGTGCGTTCCACGGAAAATTACTGCTCCTTAGCTTCTATCCATTTGCAAAAGTTTATGATTTTTTTCAGGCATTCCTCACACCTGTTAGTTTAAAATCATTAACTCTTTTAAAAAGAAAGCGAGAGACCGGAAACGATATGAGAATAGAATTGGCTACTCCAGAGACATCTGCAAATGACACTCCATTTTTTTTTTTTTCTCGCTGCAAAATGTACCGGTAAACCAAACTTTCCGGGACTCGCTGGGTGGCCGACATTTTCCCTAGCAGGAATTTTACGTTTCCAAGATCTGAATGGATGTTAATGGTCGGGCTAAATGCCAGGCAGGTCTTCACTGTCAAATTAAACAGCGGTGGGAGCAAGTGGAATAACCGAGTTCCCCTCCCGCACCTGAGCGCCGGCAGCGAGCCGCGAGTCGGGACCCCTCGCACGCGGGAAGACCCAGACGCCCGGCGGCCAGTGTCTCCGGCTTCCGCCTCCGGCTCCGGCTCCGGCTCCACTCCCCCGGCCCGCCTCTGCGTCAGGGACGCGGAAACCCCGTAGGAGCAGGGCGGGCGGGGAAAGTGGTGTTTGACTAACGCCGCAGCGATATTCTTCCGCCGCGAGGTAAAGAGTCCCAACCCAACCCCGGGCCCTAGGATTTCCAGCGACCCTATAATATCGAGAAATTACCACATTTGGATTTTCCAACCGGCTTGCTTAGGATTTTATCCGACGTAACGACCCCAGGATCACAATTTTGTGGCTGACCGAAGCACGGCGAGAAAATTCCTCCGCAAGAAACGGGTTCCGGCCACGAGCCTATAAAAAACGGGTGGCGGGGCGCTGCTGTCTTTTCAGTCGGGCGCTGAGTGGTTTTTCGGATCATGTCTGGTGGCTCCGCGGATTATAACAGGTATGGCGCTCTGTTGGCGGTCGCGGTCTGTAGTGAAGGTCGTAGGGCGCCAGGAGAGATTATAGTGGATGGCATGGAGGCAAAAACTCCAACTTAGTGCACGTTTCCTTAGGGTATAGCACCCCTGTGCCCTTCCAGAAGCTTCCATGATGGGTAGGGCCCGGATTGTGGGGAGACAGGACGATCGTGCGAAAGCAGTGGCTAAAGGGCGTTTCTCCTCCCTAAGACATTACGGAATTTTGGCTGCTTCCCCTCCCAGTGTAGAGCACGGGAAAGTAAACAGCCGTGGCGCAGTCCGCGTTCGGTACAGTGTAACCGGGACCCGAAGCTTTATTTTTGATCAACCACAGGAGTTGGGGGTCCTTGGCTTCAGTTGGGGAAGGGTTGGAGGCAGCGGTCTCCACTCGGCCACGGCGCGGAGGCGATGGGACCGGACCGGCACGGGTGCCGGCGAACCGTTGGCATCGCTCTCGCCAGGCCGCTCCGCCCGCGTCAATCACCCGGCTTGCGCATTGTTGGGGGCGGAGCTCGTCGCCCCGAGCTCTCGCGAGACGCGCCGCCGCCGAAACGGGATCCCCATGCGCTGGGGCCTGGGGGGCTGCCTTTCCGGACATCCGCGGCCCCCAACCTTTAGGGAAGGCGCGCAGTGTGATATTCGTCCTGCAGCTGCTGCTTTAACTTGTGCAGGGGAGGCTAATGTGCTGAGACGGGTTGCAAAGGGCTATCCCTTTAAGATGCAGTTAAGGTGGCTTGGAAGGGATGGATGTCTGACTGCAGTATTCTTGTCAGCAGAGAACATGGCGGCCCAGAGGGAATGGACCCCGATGGTGTCATCGAGGTAAGAAACGGTTGTGGATGTTGAAGCTTCGAAAAGGTGAATGTGTTCATCTCATTCATGCGTGCATTATTTTTTCTAACTTACAGAGCAACTGGAATGAGATTGTTGATAACTTTGATGATATGAATTTAAAGGAGTCTCTTCTTCGTGGCATCTATGCTTACGGTTTTGAGAAGCCTTCCGCTATTCAGCAGAGAGCTATTATTCCCTGTATTAAAGGTAAAAGAAACTGGAATTTTTAGGAAATGACTTTATTCTACATAGTCATGGACCGTAAAAGGGAAAGTAACCTCTGGGGGACTAGCACCTGTTTGTATTCCTTAAAGTGAAATGATGGCAATCATCTTTCGGGACTGACCTGAAATGAAGAGAATACTCATTGCTGATCACTTATTATTTGGGCATAATTCATGTTCCAAATGGAATACATGGTGTGAAGTAGAAGTGACAATTTGATGTGGGATCGGTAAATATGTATCCTACTTTTTTTAGGGTATGATGTGATTGCTCAAGCTCAGTCAGGTACTGGCAAGACAGCCACATTTGCTATTTCCATCCTGCAACAGTTGGAGATTGAGTTCAAGGAGACCCAAGCACTAGTATTGGCCCCCACCAGAGAACTGGCTCAACAGGTATTGATAGTGTAGTTCAAAAAAACTGCTTGCGTGTTGCATAGGTTTCAGGTTTCACAACTGTGAAGAATTTAAAACTTAGTATAAATTGGTCCTACCAGATCCTTCCTTTTAATTGTCCATGCATGCAGGGAGTTTTTGTTGAAAGCTTTAAAAGAACTGGGTATGCAGGTATGGTTTGTAGGGTTGTATACTAATAGATTGAGAATCCGGAACACTCTCTTGGATGTACTAGATCTGTCCCCATTTTTTAAGTTTGAATGCAGTTGTGCAACATGAAAACTGCAGTGACATGTTACCATTTGACTGTCTCCGTAGTTTGTGATGCATCTGTTGCATGCTATGTTTTCAAAGCTCACTGCTATATTGGCTTTGAAGTAAACCTTCCTAATAAAGCTGGAGGCTTTATTGAGGTCAAGATTATATAAAGCACAATACCCTCTGGGGGAAAAAATTATTTGCCCTAGCTGTAATTACAGAACATATATTTCACTATGTACTCCCTACACACAGTGAAGAATAATGTAGGAAATGTTATTCTTGAATTGTCTAGCTGATGCGTGGGGCAGCAGCATCCCAAGTTTGACAAGGCAGAAGAAAGACATTAAGGGAGTTTTACCTTGAAGCAGTTAGGTCAGTCTGCGTTTTAAGCTTGGAAGTAGTTTCGTGCTGTGCATGCATAAAAGCTGTTGGCAGACCAGTTTAAATTTGCCATTATGCTTTAAAAAGTAGTCATTGATCCTGGAGTTCTTCAGGATAATAATTAAGGCTTGGTTTTTAGATCCAAAAGGTAATTCTGGCACTTGGAGACTATATGGGAGCAACTTGTCATGCCTGCATTGGTGGAACAAATGTTCGAAATGAAATGCAAAAACTGCAGGCCGAAGCACCACATATTGTTGTTGGTACACCTGGGAGAGTTTTTGATATGTTAAACAGAAGATATCTTTGTAAGTATTGTCTTAAAAAGAGTATTTTTTTTTTTTTTTTTTTTTACTGTTACAGTTGAAAAGTCATATTACTGAGTAGATCTAGAAGTGACAGTATGACTTTGTTTCTAACAGCTCCAAAATGGATCAAAATGTTTGTTTTGGATGAAGCAGATGAAATGTTGAGCCGTGGGTTTAAGGATCAAATCTATGAGATTTTCCAAAAACTAAACACAAGTATTCAGGTAAGCATTACTTCACTCCCCTCTTAAAGGTAGAGATGGGGTTTAATTTAATGCAGGTACTGTTACAATACAACTGACGTGTTTTATTGTCGTTCCCCCTGCTTAAAGCACTTGATGCATAACTATCTCTGTCTAACTCCATTCTGTAGTAAGACAGAGACGCTTGGCTTCAAACATTTTCCCTTGGGTATTACTGTGTAAGTTGTGCTACAACATAATTTTCTCTTTTCAAGGTTGTGTTGCTTTCTGCCACAATGCCAACTGATGTGTTGGAAGTGACCAAAAAATTCATGAGAGATCCAATTCGAATTCTGGTGAAAAAGGAAGAATTGACCCTTGAAGGAATCAAACAGTTTTATATTAATGTTGAGAGAGAGGTAACTGATTGTTAGACATTATTTTACCTTCTTGTATAAGCACTGTGCTAAAATTGCAGACACTAGGACTATGTCTTGGTTTTTGCAATAATGCTAGCAGAGTACACACAAGAAGAAAAGTAACAGCACTAGATTGTAAAGACTGGGGTGGACCTCTTTCTTAATGTCCAATGTCCTTTGTCTTAAGATTTGGTGCAATATCTCATTAGACCTAATAGAATGAAGTTAATTTTTATAATTTCTACGTTTTGAGACTGGCTAAGAGGGGCCAATTTTGGTATTTTGGGCAGAGACAGGGTTTCACTATCTGGAAACTGGTTGGAACTCCTGGGCTCAAGTGTTGGGATCCCGAAGTGCTGGGATTATGGGCATAAGCACTGTGCCTGGCCCAGAATGAATTTTTAACTGAAGAAAGTTGGAAAAGCTAAATGACTGTTAACTTTCTCTTCTAAACATTATAGGAATGGAAGTTGGATACACTTTGTGACTTGTACGAGACACTGACCATTACGCAAGCTGTTATTTTTCTCAATACAAGGCGCAAGGTGGACTGGCTGACTGAGAAAATGCATGCCAGAGACTTCACAGTTTCTGCTCTGGTAAGAGGTGTTCTAAAATGTCTGGATTTCCACTAAAGCAGGATTCAGACTACAATATAGCTGCTAAGTGCTGTGTTGTCGTTCCCCCTGCTCAAAATAAAGTTGTTTCTTAACTATACCTGTCTGCTATATTCCTGTAGCAGCCAGGGACGCTTGGTCTCATACATGTTGATTAAAATTACTGACCTGACTGGTGATTCTTGAATTAAGGTTTATTAATTTGCAGCATGGTGACATGGACCAGAAGGAGAGAGATGTTATCATGAGGGAATTCCGGTCAGGGTCAAGTCGTGTTCTGATCACTACTGACTTGTTGGTAAGTCTCTTAATGCTTTTTAAAAACCTACCAAAAGTTAGCTTTTTGGGGGGAAGGTTTTTAAGTAACCTTTGCCAACTTGGGCTATTTGGAAGAGTAAAAGGACCACACTCCACAGTGGGCTATACCACTTAGTATAGTTCGCTACTATTTTGTGGCCTACATGACAGGTATCACGTTTTTTGAATTAGAATTTTTAACATATGCCATTGTGTTTCAGGCTCGCGGGATTGATGTGCAACAAGTGTCTTTGGTTATAAATTATGATCTACCTACCAATCGTGAAAACTATATTCACAGGTGAGAAGCCAGCATCTTGGATGTATTGAAAAAAAATTCATACATTTTTCTACTGTGATTTGTATGAAAGGTAACATCAAATCAAGGAATAGATTCAGTCAAGTCAGTAGTGTTCAGTAAGATGATGTAATTAAATTTGTACTAGGGGAAGGCTGACGAGAACAAAGTGGGAAAACTTGTAAACATTGCTCAGATTGTGGGCATAGGTTTTTTTTTCCCCCGCAATTGTTGGTCTTAGCTTATGCTTGAGCTTTTAGTGATGTTCTTGTGTCCATGTGCTTTTTCTTGATTTTTTCCATAGTTGGGATTTTCTTGGTGTCGCCTGGTAGCAATTTGAGTGAACCCTGGTTTAGTTATAGTGGCTTTATCCCTAAATAAATTGAATCGTACTTTGTTATGTGATGTAAAAAAAGACTTTTTAAAAAATACAGGAGTCGATAGCAGCAGTTGATGACGAGATGGCACTCAGAAACGGCGTTGACGTAATTTAGGACGTGGAATCATAAGCGAAACAGCACACTGTTTGAATAAAGAGCGAGTCGGTATTTATATTTGTTTTTCTTTTGTCATGATTATTTATTTTAAGTTGCTCCAGCTGAGGCATTTTTCGTATTAGTATTTCTGTTAGGGAACTTTTCTTACTAGGTGGTTTGTATTGTCTGGTTTCTAACATGAAGGTAGCTGTTTGGCAGTTAAACACGTTTTGAGTAATTTGAGTTACAACGTGTGAAACTGAGCAAAAAAGCAGTGATAAGTTTGGGTTACCATACCAAATATTTGTTTTCCCACTGGAAAAAAGTAAGTTTTAGAAAATAGTTAACCTTTGCAGCATTTGTTTACAGTTTACAGTTCCAGAAGTGCGTCGAAATGGATTACATAACTGCTCTTTTATTCCTGGTGTTTACATCTGTCCCAGGCTGACACCTGCTCTTGGCTGGCCCACTTTGGTATGGGCTTTAATTTCACTACCCCAAACACAATACTGTCATCTGCTTTATAATAATGCTCAAGATGCCTGATAAAAATCTCATTTTGCAGCCAGACAAGCCTTGAATCCTTTTGGCACTAACTGCAAAGGAAGATTTTTTTCTCTAGAGATGCATTAGCAGCTAGTGCTCCAGTTAGAAGCACGAACTATAACCTTGATAAGTAAACAGCAGCTGATGGTTAACAAGTGGATCGTCATGTTCAGTAGTTCATAAATTATGTGAGAAGTAACATTCTGATTGTTTTTTTCTTACACAGAATTGGCAGAGGGGGTCGATTTGGGAGGAAAGGTGTGGCTATAAACTTTGTTACTGAAGAAGACAAGAGGATTCTTCGTGACATTGAGACTTTCTACAATACTACAGTGGAGGAGATGCCCATGAATGTGGCTGACCTTATTTAATTCCTGGGATGAGAGTTTTGGATGCAGTGCTCGCTGTTGCTGAATAGGCGATCACAACGTGCATTGTGCTTCTTTCTTTGGGAATATTTGAATCTTGTCTCAATGCTCATAACGGATCAGAAATACAGATTTTGATAGCAAAGCGACATTAGTCGTGAGCTCTTGTGAGGAAAGTCATTGGCTTTATCCTCTTTAGAGTTAGACTGTTGGGGTGGGTATAAAAGATGGGGTCTGTAAAATCTTTCTTTCTTAGAAATTTATTTCCTAGTTCTGTAGAAATGGTTGTATTAGATGTTCTCTATCATTTAATAATATACTTGTGGACTAAAAGATATAAGTGCTGTATAAAATCAGCCAATTATGTTAAACTAGCATATCTGCCTTTATTGTGTTTGTCATTAGCCTGAGTAGAAAGGCCTTTAAAATTTTTTTAGAAAGCATTTGAATGCATTTTGTTTGGTATTGTATTTATTCAATAAAGTATTTAATTAGTGCTAAGTGTGAACTGGACCCTGTTGCTAAGCCCCAGCAAGCAATCATCCTAGGTAGGGTTTAATCCCCAGTAAAATTGCCATATTGCACATGTCTTAATGAAGTTTGAATGTTAAATAAATTGTATATTCACTTTAAAGGTGCTTTTGGTCATTTTTATTACAACCCCCTTATTTACAAAACCCCACATCAAAATATATTCACTTTTTAACAGTTCTGAGATAATTGCTGCATCACAGTTGCACAAAGGCTGATGAGTTGCAAATGTTCATCAGCACCATCTGCTAGGCATTTGTCAACTTCCTACAAGAAAAATTTAAGAAATTAGCATCCTTCAGGTAGTTAAATGTTTAATTGACATGTGCAAAGTACCTACTTACGGCAAGTTTTTCTGTAATAATGGACTTCTGTTTATCAGATAAATTATTCTCTACAACCACATCATGGAGTTGACTGACGAACTGAGTTGCTGCATGGCCCTCATCTATTAAGTCCTATTAAAAAAAAACTTTTTGGTATGATCATTTAATATTCCTTTCCCCAAAGTTAGTAAGCTGACTTTACCTTGACCACAGCTTCTAGTTTGTCAAAAGAGCCACTCTGACAGGCAGCAAATACTCCATCAATTTTCTCAGCTGGTATTACCTAGGTAATGGAACGTTCAGTATTAAAGATGTTTCTAGGTGAGACTAACACACTCCCCCCAGTCCTTTCTGTTCCACACCTAAGTTCCATACTTAGCTAATGTTGTGATAACCCTGTAAAGTTGGGAAGGCTTTGGGAGAACAGAGCCAGAGTAACTCCAGTCACCACTAAAGTAACCAAGGTGCTAACAGTTGTGCTTTTAAAGCCCAAGTTTGGACACATGGGTTATAGCTTGTTCTGGTCAGTGGATGAAGACTAGTGGCCAACCAAGATCAGCCAAAGAGACTGATTTCTTTAAAGGGGAAGTGCCCTTTCTCTCAAAATCCATGTAAATATGCCACTAATGAGATTGGTTTAAAAAGTCCACAATATCCAGAAAATTTAAGATGATTAGTGGTACCAGTCTTGTCATATGGAAGGCCTACCGTGAAGGTGAAAAATGTCATAGAAACAAAAGTTTTTAAGTAGTAGTGGTTCTGAGGTGAGTTTTGACATGGGAGTATCCAAAGACAGGTGGGGTACTGCATTCTCTTTAATGATCTGTAAGTTGGATATGCCTTTTGTTTATATACAACTGGCAAAATAGTTTTCATGTATAAGAACATCTGCTAAAATTGATGTAACTGCCAAAGGCATCTCTTAAAAAAATCTAAAAAGGCTGGGCACTGTGGCTCCCACCTGTAATCCCAGCACTTTGGAAGGCTAAGGGGGGCAGATCACCTGAGGTCAGGAATTCAAGACCAGCCTGGCCAACCAACATCGTGAAACCCCATCTCTATTAAAAATACAAAAATTAGCTGGGCATGGTGGCAGGTGCCTGTAATCCCAGCTACTTGGGAGGGTGAGGTGGGAGGCAGAGGTTGCAGTGAGCTAGTATTGCGTCACTGCACTCCAGCCTGGGCGACAGATCAAGACTCCGTCTCAAAAAAAAAAAAAAAGAAAATCTAAGAACTGAAAGTGTCCTTTTCTTTCCTGAAATGTCTATTACATGCTTGACAAAGTGTCATCTCCTCACCTGAAACACTCTGATACTCCCAGGTTATTCCCTTATACTTCCTAGTGCAGTACTTGGCACTTACTAAACATTCAGTATTTGTTGGATGAAAATTTCCTAAAAGCCACAAAAAAGCCAACTAAGAAGAAATTTGGAATATCCAGTACTCTTACCCCAGCAATGTCTGTGATCACTCTCTCTGTGATCTCCTTTCCACCTGTTAATCGAGTAGCGCTTTGAAGAAATGTAATGGCTTTTCTTAAGTCTCCTTCTGACACTTTAACAAGATAAGCTATTCCCTGAAGACAAAAAAGTTGTTTTTAACCTATGATGGCCAATTAAGGATTTATGACTTTAATTTTAAAATGTTTAATAAAAGTGAAAAGCCCTATGTTTTAGTCTAGAGTTAATGAGAACACCCATGTGTGTTTTGGAATAAAATCTGATCAGTCTAGAGGCCGGGTACGATGGAAGGATAGAGATGTCTTGCTTCTGAAATCTGCAGAGATGAAAAAATGTTCCATATTTATCCCATTTTCTTGCTCACATAAAGCAAATTCAAATTATGCTTAAATTCTGTTATAATTAATAAGGGCCTTATGTTTCCATCAATTTTAGGGAAGTACTGAAGTATGAGCTAGAAGACTAAAATCTTATCAGCATGCAGAGATTTATATTGCAGAATTTGCATTATATGTATGAAATCCACCTCAGTTTTGGGTCTTTGATATATTAAAAGTAATTAACTCAAAAAGTAATAGAAAAGCTAAACCTTGTAATTCCTACACATTTCAATTGTTGCCCCTTTAGCTTAAGTTTGTCTGAAGAACTGGCATCAGGATTGAGGCAACACATATTTAAATCCTTCAGGGTCTCTCTAGATGCATTCATTGAAGGAATTAGTAACTCTAATAATTGTAATAATTAGTAATTACCTCATCACTAATTTTGACATTTTCCTTCTCAGCAATGTCTAGTAATCGCTGCTGTTGAATTTTATCTGACAGAGGCTTGAAGCGGAATTTTGAACATCTAGAGGTCAGAGGTTCAATTATTCTGTGGAAGATGAGAAAAACCAAGTTGGTGTCTAAAGAAAGAATTTCCCCAAAAGAACTCATTTTTATCAAGAACAAATCAAGATTTGATGCAGGAAAAATTAACGTAGCCTTGAAAATTCTAAATTTCCTTCCCCTAATTGGGTTATGAAAATGAGGCTGCCTAGCATCTGTCTTCAGGGCAATATACATACCGACTGACATAGTTACAGATAAGACAGAATCGGGTGGTTTTAGACTCCTTCTCCATGGTACGTCTTAAAGCTGCCTGAGCAGCTGAGGTCATAGAATCTGCTTCATCCAGAATCACAATCTTAAAAGGTGGACACGGCTTCCCACTGATTCAGAGAAACACGTAAGAGTTGAACATTAATAGGTCTATTGGTTTCAACAGCTTTGTTGAAATATACATACCATACAATTCACCCATTTAAAATGTACAATTCAGTGTTTTTCTGTATATTCACGAAGTTGTGCAACCACTACCACAATCTAATTTGAGAATATTTTTATCACTAAAAGAAACTTTGTACCTATTAAGAGTCACTCTTCTTCCCCCAGTCTTTCCCAGCTCTAGGCAATCACTAGTCTACTTTCGTCTCTATAGATTTGCCTATTCTGGACATTATATGAATGGAACCATATAATATGCAGTCTTCTGTGGCTGACTTCTTTCACTTAACATATTTTAAAGATTCATCCATGTTGTAGCATGTGTTTGCTTCATTCCTTTGTATTGTCAAATACTATGGCAAACGGATATGCCACATTTATTCATCCATTAATCAGTTGGACATTTGGGTTGTCTCCATGTTTTGTCTATTAGGACTAACGCTGCTGTGAACATTTGTGTACGTTTTTGAGCAGATATGTTTTCCAAGAGGCTGCACCATTTTATTTTACATTCCAAACAGCAATGTATGAGGTTTACCATTTCTCCACATCCTTGTCAATGCTTGTTATTTTCTGTATTTTTTTTATCATAGCCATCCTAGTGGGAGTTACCTGGTATTTCAGTGTGGTTTTGATTTTCATTTCCCAAATGGATAATGATGTTGATGAGCATCTTCTCATGTGCTTATTAGGCATGCATATATTCTTTGGAGAAATGTCTATGCAGATCCTTTGCCCATTTTTTAATTGGGTTATTTGTTTTTATTACTGAGTTTTTAAAGTTCTTCATATGTTCTAGACATAAGTACTTTTTAGATATATGATTTGTATTTTCTCCCATTTTGTGGGTTATTACCTTCTGCACATTGATTTTTGGTAATCTGCCATTAAAATTTTTCTCCCACCAAAAGTGGCATTAACATAATTATATGAAAATTATACCAAGAAAACAGATTTCAAGTATTAATGGTAGAAGAGATCTCAGAGTCTTTTAGTCCACCTCCCAGTCTTCATTTCACATAAAAATAAATTAGGTGCTATAGAGGTTGTGACTGACTGCACCATCAATTCAAGGTGGATATCAAAAATTAGTCATTCACTTTCATAAATTTTGAAATGTGCTCATGTAAATTTTACATATATGTTTAGGTACCACCAATGTAATCCTGGACCTTTGCCACCTAAGGAGCATAAATAGTTGATTAAATCAGTTTACCTCAGGCAGGATAGTCTTCTAACATGAAAAGGGAGTTGACAATTTGGCAGAAATACACTTGATCTTAGCCAAAAGGCTGAGAAGCGATGGCAGAAACACATATTTAAAATAATACATGCTATGGAGGAGGCAGGGCAAATTTACTTACTCTGAACGACTTCCCGACACAGTTAACTGAGCAAAATTTTTCACTTTCTCTCGAACTACTTGTATTCCACGTTCATCAGATGCATTTAACTCAAGAACTCTTAATCGGAAAAGTTCAGGTCTATCTCAAAATGAAACAAATATGAAACATAGAGCACAAGTAGGCTTAAATCACATTTTAACATTTGCACACTTTGCAGATGTTTAAAATCCACTTAGTAAACAATATGGATAGAAGGCACACAATCACTTTTGTATTCTCTCTTGGTAGAGTGCTGCAGTTACCATTTTGGCTTTTTTCCATGCATTTAAAAAAATGTAGACATTATTACATAAAATATACAATTTATTTTCTTTTTATTTTTTTGGAGACAAGGTCTTGCTCTGTCACCCAGGCTGGAGAACAATGGCATGATGATGGCTCACTGCAGCCTTGCACTCCTGGGCTCAAGTGATCCTCCCACCTTAGCCTCCCAACTAGCTGGGACTATAGGCACATGCCATCACACCTGGCTAATTTTGTTTACTTTTTGTAGAGGCAGGGACTCATTATGTTGCCATGCTGGTCTCAAGTGATCCTTCGACCTTGGCCTCCCAAAATGTTGGGATTACAGGTGTGAGGCACCACACCTGGCACCACATATA